TCTGGCCTTCTTTTCGAAGTCTCGTCTGAAGACCTTGCCTGGCAGTGATGGTGTGCTACTTAAAGGATCATGGGACTTAGTAACTGGGGTTATAATTAGGGCAACTATACTTATAACTACTTATAACTCCAGTTAAGGTACTTATAACCTTACTTACTAAGTCCCATGATCCTCCAAGTAGTGTCGAACGTCGAAAGCTCTTTCGGAACTTAGGGTTTAGGCTTTTTTTACTTACGCTGAGTCCCTGTGTTTGGGGTTTCAGGCTTGGGAGCTTAAGCTTGAGGGCTTCATGGGGTTACGGTTTGGGGTTTCGGGTTGAGGCTAGGCGGCTTGGAGCTTGGGATTTGGGGTTGGGACGGTTTGAGCTTGTCTATGATATTCCGCTGCAGCAGTGAAAATGATGCAGCACATGTGTGTGCCATCCGACACATGCACCCACCCCGCGCCGCTGAAGGCGGTAAAATCACCCAAATCTGATCAATGCATGGTTTATGCCTAGACTCACGAACATGATTTTGAAGGCTTTGGCAATTCCTCCTTGTCGGTATTCCACTCAAGTAAAGCAAGGCCCATAAAACGGGCCCTTTACTTTGCAGAAAGCACCCAGATACCACATTGCTTGCCAGAACGCGAGAATCGTAGGACCGAAGAGGTTTCATGAGGTTCAGGGCTTTCGAGTCTATCTTCCGTCAGACCACGGGTAGCTACACGCATGCTGCAGCTACCCATGAACCCTGACACATCATCCCTTAACTGAAGTTCATTACCACGCAAATGCACGCGCGTAATGGCAACAACACGCAGTGCGACAAGTCTGAGACACACAACCATAATAAAAGAGAAACAAACACGATAAGGGAATGAACAGACAAACAAACGAACGCACCATCGAGCGAGCGAGCGAACGGATAGACGAACGAAGGAGCGAACAAACAAACGAACGAGTCACCCAAACACGCAAACGAGTACTGCTATTGTCTTTGATGCCCTAAGCAACAGCAGCTTCGAAAGCAACTCGTCACGGGAGGGGGGACGGGGGCACGGGCAGGCGAACATCTTCCCCTCCTGCAAGAGGATGCAGCCCCGAGGATCTAGCATGGAGTGCAGCTGGACGCACAGATCGGGCCCCTTAAACCCTAAACCCTAGACTTTTCAACCCTAAGCCCTAAACCCTAAACCCCTTAATCCTGCAGGTGGAAAAGAGCCCATAAAAAAAAAAAAAAACCTTAATCCCGAACCCTTAAGACTTTGAGGGTTTGGGGGGTCTCAGGCTGCGATCTTTTGGGTTCGGGGTTGAGTTCTTTGGGTTGGCAGGTTCCAGGTTTGGACCTGGACTTGGCGCAGGGTCTAGGGATGTACTTTATGGGGCCTAGATAATTACACTCACTAGTTTGGGGGTTCCTTATTATAACTTATAACTATAGTATAATGGGCCCCGAAACCTACTCTAATTGTGGGCTTGGGGTCAGCACAGAACATCCCAAAAGCTTGAAGTCCTCAAAGCTTGGTGAGCTCCTGGTCCTGGCATCAACAAACATGCGTGGACTTGCCAGAAATTAGGTCTGGCCGATCTTTTGAGTGCAGTTCATGCCATCCTAGAGTCGTAGATCCTTAGCAACGGCATCTGACACAGCCCAGGACAGCACCCACATCGAGGTCACAACCTCCTGGCGGAGCCATGCAGGGTAATTGAACGGTTCATGGCGACCTACAGTTTCAATGAGGGTTAGAAATGTATTTTGCCCAGAACCTCAATCCATGATTTGTCTTACTCATAGCCCTGCCTGACCTTCCTATGAAGCTTCAATAGTGGGCATCGACTTTTTGGTAGAGTGCCCATTGGACTACAGGAAAGCCAGGTTTCATGCACTACAACATCATGATTATTGCTGCCAAAACTTGCTCCCTTCAGTTCGGTGCCGAAAACTCTACGCCTAATTCCCTATCACCCCCCTCAACAAAAAAAGCTCACAAGAAAGCACCTCTAATACCCTGTAAGCCTGTTGAAACCAACGATTTTTCTCGGGCTTATATACCCTAAATCTCTACACACTCAGGTTTCGAGGAAAGATTTTCAGCCTCCCTCCACCGCTTCGTCGGAGATTTAAAATTAGGTCAGAGCATACATACCCTCCCCTGAGCTCGCACGGGAAGAAGACTGCGTTTTCAAGAAAGGCCTAGTAGGATTAATCCTTTCGGAACCCCCCCTGCGCAGAAAAGCAAAGAAGGGGTCCAACTGAGGACACGAGGCGCTGGCGCAGGGTTCCGGCCCGCTGAAAGGACGACAAGCAGACGGAGCTGACAGCCTGCGGAACCCCTGGGTTTGCGATGGTTAGGGTTTAGGGTTTGTTGCCTCTATTGCTGTTATTCTTAAGATTCGTTTCAGTTTTGTTACTAGTTTCGTCATCAGCGCGGAAGTCTCAGCAAACGGACACTTCAAAGTAAACCGAACATATGAGGACTCTTGGCAAAGAAGCCTTGTTGCAGGGTTGTTCTGGGTTAACTTCTCGTTCTCGTTCTTCACTGGCGTCCATCTGGGGGTTCTGGATGGCACCTTTCCTCTCGAAGGGCCGTTGTGTGAGCCCACTCGTCTCGTGTGACAACTTCCCCCGGCCTTTCGTCGACACGAGATGCCGTCCATGGCCTCTCGAGCACAAAGAAGACGCGTCTGTCGCGGTCGTTCTCGCCCAGCCTCGGGCGGGCCAGCACGAGGGCAGAAAAGGTGTCTGCTTCGATGTGCTGTGCAGGCTCTGCATGCAACTACGGTGTAGAGAAACAGCCTGCTTCCGCGGAGAGAAGCTGGCAATTTAGTTTTCATAACCTAGCTGTGTTGTGACAGTAGTCTGTTCTAACATGAATGTAAGTGAAGGCTCGGCTGGCCTTCCCCGAGTGTGAGTGTGACAGTCAGATAGTCACATAGTCGATGTATGGTGATGAAGATCAAGATCATGATGAGGATGCGAGTGCTGTCGCTGGCCTCTGGTGGCGATGATGAATAATGCACTATTCCTGCTCCGTGTCTCCTCCTCCTCCTCCTCCTCTTCCGCTTCTTCCTACTCCTCCTCCTGCTCCTCCAAGTATGCCTGCCGCTTTCTGCTGCTGCTTGCGACGACGCGTACTTCCTACTGCTATGGCTGCTGCCACTGCAACCGCTATCGCTACTGCTACTGCCAGTGCTGTTGCTTCTGCTATAACGATGACTACTGCCACTGCCGCTGCTACTGCTACTGCTTGTGCTACTGTCAGTGCCAGTGCGCCAGTGCCACTGGTGCTGCCACTGCTGCTGCTACTGCTCCTGCTACTACCACGACCACCTCGACGAACCACTAGTACCACGGCAGTTTGATGTTGCCAGTTATTGGTAACGGTGTTGTTCTCATGCGGTTGTTGGAACGTATCGCAGGCCAGGCGCTGCATATGTGGACTGTCTCCAAGGGGCGGACGAGGTGAGACAGCAAGCGGTCAGGGCTCACGGTTTGAAGCTCCACGGTTGCGTGAATCAGGTGCACGGGTCAGTGAGTTTGAGGGTATGTGATTCGGTGTTTGGAGGGTTAGTGGTTCAAAGAGTTCGGTGAACCCAACGGAGAAAATCAGACTCAAAACCCATGCCACGCCCATAGAGGGACCTCTATACAGGCCGTGATATAGAGGTTTGGAACTTTGTAAGAATCAATAGCATTCCACATTCTTGGCAGAGTCCTTACATAGTTAGTTGTAGTACAAGGTCAAGCAAGACCGTCGTCTTGATATGGGAGTTTCCGAAAATAGGGGGACCCTAATACAGTACCCCAAATAATAGGATCCTTATTATAAGGACCCCAATTAAGGTACCCCTTGTTCTCGGAAAGTCCCATATTATGCCCAGCTGATGTCCGAAACCCGATACCGCCCTGTTGGGTAGAAACCCTGAATCCAGAATCCTCTGACTTCTCCTACACCTGGAGAAGTGCGGGGTCGTGTAGGGGCGTTATATAGGTCTTCATAGGGCTTCTAGAAAGGTGCATGGTGCCCTTTTGCGGGCCCTTGTAGGAAAAGAAAGATTTTTACAATGCTACAAACCCTAACCCCTACATTCCAAAACACCCGACACCCTTATGACCCCAAAAGGGGCCACTGCAAGGCAGCAAGTGCCTCCTTCATGCTCAGCTACACCTGGGGCTACAAGAGCCTTGCCTTTGTCTGAGGGCTGAGAGTTGTAGGGCTTCAGGGTCTTGACCTTAATTTTCAATGTTTAGGGCTTGGTTGTGCAGCTTTTTGGCAAAGTTGGTCTCGGGTTCTGAGCGTAGGAGACCTCTGATTAGTAACTCTTCCCTCAGGGGTTCAAACAGTAGGATCCCTGTTCTTGCCCTCATGAAGGGAGGGGGGTCTACATTTGGGGCGTCTTGGCCGTGTAGGATTGAGAGTCGGGATTGTTTCCAGGTCTCTCGCCCCGAACTTCCAGCCCGCCCGGTGTATTCGGGTGCATGGTTTAGTGTAGCGTTTAGGGCTGTTTTGGGGGCGTGAGTTTAGGGTTCAAGGTTTAGTTGGTCGATCCCTCTGCTCTGTTGCTGCACAAAAAGATCACGAATGCCATTTCTAGAAATTGTGGAGGCACCTGCAGGGCTATTCTGGGTTCTTGTTGCAGGGTTTAAATTAAGTTACAATTCATAAAGAAACCATATTATTTACTATAGGCCCCTCTTATGGTAACTGAAGTTAAGTTCCTGAGCCGCAGAAGCCCTAGGTTGGATGCTGTTACCTAGAAGTTGAAAGGGTTTGACAACGGCTCACGAGGGCTTCAAGAGTTTTCAAACAAGGGTTGACCTCACTTCCTGCTCCCTTGGAGTCTTACGTCTTCGCTGTAGCAGGACTCTTTGGCTTTCTTGAGTTCAGCTCGGGTTTGGGATTTAGACTCTTGTTGCCTGTTTTAGTCTTCTCGGGGTCTATTTTTTTTTTTTTTGGGGGGGGGGGGCCTTGTGGGGCCCTGGGAGGTTTCATTGAAGGTTTGCGTGCTCTGAAGGATGGGCGATATCATGGACACCTTGACACAGTACTGCCGGGACGCCAACCTCGATCCCAAGCGAACGCGACTCCGACGCAAGCCGTCGGGTAGGAGTCGACAGAACTAGTAAGATCATATCATACCCTTATGGTTCCCTACTTGGAGGCCCTGTTGACTTAGTAGGTCTACTTAGTATCCCCTAGAAACCCTATTATAATCCCCATAACCCACCTTACTAACCCTACTTACTAAGTCAAAAGGGCCTCCAAGTACGAAAGCGATCCTAGAAAGAACCCTGCTCTAAGTGTTAAGGCACCACAATTAGGGTAATGTAGGAACCTGATTAAGAAACCCTGGGCCTAGAACCCCCAAAACAGTAGGATTCATATAAGGAGCCCTAATAAAGGCCCAAGGTTTCTTAATCAGGTTCCTACCCTAAACCCTAAACCCCTAAACGCCTAAACCCTTAAGCCCTAAACCCTTAAAGCCCTAAACTCCCAAACCCTAAACCCTAAACCCCTACATTGGCGAGACATCAAAAGTCCGATGCACTTTAAAAAAAAACCCTACACTGGGGTCTAGGAGCCGGGCTGCATCTAACGCCTCTGTGCGGAGATGGACGAGTCCAATAGCTAAGCAGTCTTGAACCCGACTTCCCTAAACTTGAAACCTGGTAGCCCGAAACCCCAAGCCCCAAACCGTGTGAGTGAAAGTCCCAATGCACCCTTAAAAAAGCCGTGTCTTGATGAAGATGAGACTTCTTGAAAGTATTTTCTGGCGCGTGACAGTCAGGTGGGCCTCGGTCAAGATGATTGTGGGTCGTAGACTGGCTAGACTTGAGTCCAGTGGCAAAAAAAGGGTTTAGGGGGGTCCAGGGTTTAGGGTGTTGCGAGTCCTCGTTCAGAAAGGGTTCAGGGTATTCCCAGCTTTGGCACTAAAGTCCTTAGAGCTTTGGCCACATGCTGCCAGCCGTCACTCGCGACTCCTTAGCCCAACCCAGAATTCCAAAAATCCTTAATTCAGGAATGTACCTTCATTCATATTAGGGATCCAAGGTATACTCCTTAATTAAGGGATATTGGAGTCTTTGGGAATTAGATAAAATAATGGCCCGAAAGCTATAAAAGGCTATTATTCTACATGCTTTTAGGGTCCAGGTATTGCTTGATGAAGGATTTTTTGGAAGGCCTGGCACAGGCGTCCAAGGTACACGGGTTTCTTAATCCTAATATAGATCCCTTATAGATCCCTTTACAGGGAACTCCAGAAAGTTGGAATATGGTTTCAGGGTAGGATACCTTATAATTTACCATAGAGGGCTTAGGATAATCATATTCCAACTTTCTGGCTTTTACCTTACAGGAGCCCTTAAAAAGGAAGCCCTATGCGAATGAGTACGGCCCCTACATGAGCCCAGCGGCCCTCCGCCAAGGTACACATGGATGTGCTGCTTCTGCATCAACCAGCACAGGCTGCTCAGAGATGGGCGCGGGACCTATAGTAAACCTTGGGTACTGCCCCCTCTCAGTAACAGTTGGATCATATTCATAATACAGATATATCAGGCCCTGAATAGTAGCCCTATCATAGACTGTTACTGTATGGGGGCGGTACCCAAAGTAAACCCCATAAAGTTGGAAGCCGGATTAAGGCCAAATAGTGCTGGGATTCCCTAATATATTATAATCTTAAGGATCGAGGCTGTTGGGTTTCCAACTTTTGGGCTTCTACTGTAACACTTAGAGCATCGTGGGACTTAGTATAAGTAAGGTTCCTTAACAGGGTTCCTTAAAAGGGGTCCTTAAAGGGATCTAGAAGGCAAGGGCTCTATAAGGGAAGATCATGGGACTTAGTAAGTAAGGTTATTGGTACCTTAACTTGGGTTATAAGTAGATATAAGTATAGTTACCTTATCAATAACCTTACTTACTAAGCCCCGTGATCCTCTAAGTAATGGAGCACCCTAAATAGTAGGATCCTTGTTATAAGGATCCTATAATAAGGTACCCCTGATTTCCGAAAACTCCCACATCAGCAACGACATATGGGACTACCCCGCGACCACTGCCCACCGCTCCTCCTCCTCCTCCTCCTCCTCCTCCTCCTTCTTTTTGCGACTACGACAGACCGCGCCGCCAGCGACGACTAAGTCCCAAAACCTCAGTTTAACGGAGAGACTGCCAGGGTGAAGGAGACGGAGGCGGCGGGCGAAACCGTGCCATTCGAAGAGTTCAAGCGGGGACCCTGGCAGAGGGTTTGCTAACACCGCAAGAACCCCAACACGAAGCAGGGGCCTCTCTCTCAGGTTGCTGTATAAAAAGGCGGATGCTTGAGGGCATCTGGAGCCCAACATCCAGTGAATGCAGGATACTCAAGCAAGCAGCCCGAGATTCTCGCTCCAGGGTTCATAACGTGTCGAGCTGGGGGCTTGGGGTTAAGGGCCTCTTGAGTCTTCTGAGCTACATGAGGCTTTTAGGGTGGAAACATCTAGTCCTTGAGTTCGGGCGTTTGGGCGCGCGACGCTCTGAAGCTCGCCGGAGTTTCGATGAGGGAACAGATGTAGCATGAGGCGTTCAAGCTATATTGCAACATGCTATAGTATACTGCTACCTATGTGTATATGCTATATTATACTCCTGCATATGCATATACATATATACTTTATAGATAGCAAGCGCTCGGCTTTCCAGTGCCTCGCCTCGGTGGTGGCGGGGTGTTTGGCGGGTGCAAGATGAAGGGTTTTGCGATTGGGGTCTAGGAGTTTACAAACCATTGAGATTATGCACCTTAACCCTGAAGAACCTACCTTTTAAGGGTTCCCTATTGTGACTTCCTTATATAAGTCCTTACAAAGGTAGGTTCTTCAGGGTTACTTGGAGGGTCGGGGGACTTAGTGAGTAGGTAGTAAGTAGACTTAAAAGTACCCTAAGAGGGACCCTAATTGGGGGTATGGTACTTATAAGTCCCGAAGATGAAGGGTTTTGCGATTGGGGTCTTGGAGTTTACTAACCATTGTTATTATGGGAGCTAAGGAGCCAGGGATGATGATAATCCTTTTTTAAATAAGGAGCTAAAGAGCCAAGGAACCCCCAAAACCACTGGTTATTTTAGGTGAGGCGTGCATGAAGAAGTCTGTGCAAAAGGTCTAGAGGTCTGTCCTGATGCGCAAATGTTTAGGGTTTGGCAAGTTTGGGAAGTTTGGGGTTTTGGGAAAAGGCGCCAAGCATCTCAAAGCTTTGCATGCCGAGGAAAGCTTTCGGAGATCGAGTGAAAGGCATCGGCAAGCACACCCCTCAGCAAATACCGAGATGCGTGATATTCGGGCTTTGAGCGGTTTAGGTGTTTGGGCACGCAGTTTCTTGCATGCATGTGCATCTGTGTACGTGCCTATCGAATGTAATTGAAGGTAGTTGCAACGACGAATTCCTGAGCACTTCTATCCCGGTGTGAGTAAACCCTAACCCTGAAGCCCTCAAGCCTTAAAGCCCTAAACCTCAAACCTTAAGGTAGCACATGCAGAGGTATGCACGCTGACTCCGATGCAACCGAAAGTCCCGACGTCCCTGGAGCCTAAAGCTGAGGCCCTGAACCCTAAACTCCATGCACCTTCTGTGGATGGGCGGGCTTTGGGAGTTGGGCTGAAGGGACAAAGGGCTTAGTTGTCCCCTCCTGCTCCGAACAGATTCTCAGAAGCGATGAAGTTCTGCATTGTAGATATTCTTAGCTGCTTCCGGTCCTGCAGCCCTAACCCAGCTTAAACAGGGCCTCAACCCTACGCAAAGCTCTAAACCCTCAGTTCCCAACCCCTGAACCCCCAAACCCCAAGCCCCAAGGATTGTGGCCATGATGGCCCCGTGGAAGGATCCTTTCTACATCAAGCGTGCCGGAACCTGAGTTGAGGTGTAGGGTTTAGGCTTAGGGTTTAGGGTTTAGGGTACCGTGCCCAAATTACATTCTGGTGGCAACAGGTAAGGCAGTTCTTGGTAGAAGCTCAGCTGCTCTCATATAGAGACTTCAATCATTACCAATACCATTGTGGGGGTTCCTTATTCTAATTATAGTATAACGGACTCCAGAACCCTCTTGCAATGCTCAGGGCCCCTACACTAACTCTTTCTTTTTAGGATGGTCTAGTCTAAGGTACTGCTGGCGAGTTGTTATGCTCGTAATCTCCGGAAGGCCTCCCAAGTGCTTGTTCTTGAAGCTTTGCCGGGAACTTCTCCAACCACCAAAAGGCCTCGTCAAGCTTTTTGTTTTTGAAGTTCTGCCGGAAACTCCGGTCTAGTCAGACGCTCAGAACGCAATCTTATGCCCAGTGGCTGCGAACAGGAGCTCACTTAAAGAATCACCGGCCTTGAGCGCTTTGAGTTCATGTTCTCGAAGTTGCCAGTCGCCACTACAATGTCTCCACCATCAGCACCGCTCCCATTGCCACTACAACTACCGCCACCACCGACATTACCAATACTATTGACCATTACTACCACTAATACCACTACCACCAATTCTATTACCACTACTACCACTACTACGACTACCACTACTACCACTACTGCCACTACTGCCACTACTACCACTGCTACCACTACTACTACTACTACTACTACTGCTACTACTACCACTACTACCACTACTACTACTACTACTACTACTACTACTACTACTACTGCTACTGCTACCACTACTACTACTACTACTACTACTACTACTACTACTACTACTACTACTACTACTACTGCTACTGCTACTACTACTACTACTACTACTACTACTCCTACTGCTACTGCTACTGCTACTGCTACTGCTACTGCTACTGCTACTGCTACTGCTGCTGCTGCAACTACTACTACCACTACCACTACCACTACCACTAGCACTACCACTAGCACTACCACCACCAACCACTACCACTACCACTACCACTACCACTCCTCTCTACCTCTACCTCTACCTCTACCAATACCACTACCACTACCACTACCACGACGGCGACGACGACGACTACTACTACTACTATTACTACTACTACTACTACTACTACTACTACTATTACTACTACTAGTACTAGTACTAGTACTAGTACTAGTAGTACTACTCTGCTACTAGTTACTACTACTACTACGACGACGACTACTGCTACTGCTACTACTAATGACTACAAATACTACTACCACCACCACGACTGCGACTGCCCCCCACTGCCGCTGCCACTGCTCCTGCTCCTGCTCTTGGTGCTGCTACGGCTGCGGCTAAGTGCTAACTGCCAACTGCTAATTGCTGCTGGCGCTGCTGCTGCTACCGGGACTGCTACTGCCAGCTGCTGGGGCGACGACCCAAGACGGCAACTGCTGCGACATGCTGGCAACGGCTGGTGTTATTTACCCTGCTGCTACCACCACTTTAGCACACTGCGGCCACGGCGGCCGCGATTAGTACGACTACGCATGGTCATGGTGGCAATGCGCCTGACGTGCTGAGGTCTGGTGTGACTTTGAGATGTACACGGCAACGTCCGAGAAGCAGGCGTGTTGCAATGAAGCTATTCTGTGAAGGGGTCTGTACTGGCATCGGTTTAGCAAGCAAAGTTCGGCGAATTCCCTTAACTTCAGTGCTCACGGCTTAGATCCCATATCCTGTGGACTCAACAATGACGGCTGAGTGCAGGCCTTTCCATGTAGGTCGGGCTCCAGGTTCAGATATGGGTGGTTGTGAAAATTGTGATCTCTTTTTGGGTCCCTGTTATAATACGGCACCTAATATTCAGGGTACCCAAAAGAGGGCCATACTTTTGACAACCGCCCATATGGTTTTATGCTACGTGAGCTCAATTCCCAGCCGGAGCCTGAACATGGGAACCCTCCCTGGAGGATCATGGGACTTAGTAAGTAAGGTTATAAGTACCCTAATTGGGGTTATAAGTATAGTTACCTTACTTATAACCCCACTTACTAAGTCCCATGATCCTCTAAGTACACCATTTGGCTCAAGCATAAAGCGTGCATCAGACTCGGCTAATGGATGTGGGGTAGCTAGCAGCTAGCAAGTAGCAGTTACACATGTCCGCGTTGGCCTTATGCAGGCTATTGACCTTCATTGATGTCTAGTTCAGCCTCCTTCGGCTTGTGACCGTATCCCGATTGCGACTCTTCATGGGGAAGTCGGCGGAGGTCACCGTCCAAGAGGTCGACGCCGCTGCCTTTCACCTCTTGAACGCCGATTTCAAAGGGGCGAATGCCTTCAGCGAGGGAGCGAATGCACTTTGCGAAAAGACCGTGGGGGTTTCTCGCGATGCGTTGCTGCAGTGCGGACGCTTGCGTCTCGTCGCGCGTTTGGCAAAGGTCCTGCGCCTGCTTTCTCAGCCGGGGGAGCGGCTCAGCAAGGCGGCTCGCGATTGGGCCAAGACTCCCAGCGTCGATGCGCTTCTGGAAGTTACTTTGTCACAGTTGGGTAACCTTTTACATTTCTATGGGTACTTGAACCCAATCCGCAATAAAATGTACATTTTTAATCCTATCCCAACAATAAACTAAAGGATCATGGGACTTAGTAGGTAGGGTTCCTTATAGGGTTTAGGGTTTGGGGTCTACTTAAAAGATCATGGGACTGAGCAAGTAGGTTCGGGACATCGGCTTGGAAGAGGGCCCAGCCTCGAGTGCAGCAAGCTCGGACCGGGTCTCCCGCGAGGTCTTCCAAGCAGCGCGGAAGTTGAGCCGTGAAACTAGGCTCTTGTTATAAGGGATCTAGTTTAAGGTACCATATACAACGAAGAAACCCATAATGAAGAAGCCATATTGTTTACCATCGACCCCTAATTATTCTGGTAATTTACAGTAAAAATTCCTTAAGAAGAGCCCAGGACATGCTGCCGAAGCATGGCGAAGAGGATCCCATCGAAGCCTTCGGGGACTCGCAGGCCTCGACCCTAAACCCTAAACCCTAAATCCTCAACCCTTGAGACCTCGTCAGGTATGTCCGAGTTGCGAGAGCGTAAACCCTAACCTTTTTTTTTTTTATACCCTAAACCCTAAACCCTGGGGACTCGCAGGCCTCGACGGTGCCGGGAGAAGCTTCGCCGGCGGAGTCGAGGGAGTACCGAGCTCTGAAGCGATACAAGCCAGGGAAGACAGGTAGGAGTGTCCGAAAAACTTAAGGTGTGCCTTTAAAGGGATCAGATCTATAAGAGTTCTATAAAGGGTTTAGGGTTTAGAGTGTCCGAAAAACTTAGGGGGTTACCTTTAAAGGGGATCCTTAATGGGATCTGTAAGAGTTTCATAAAGGGTTCAGGGAAGTTTGGGGTTAGAGTTTCCGAAAATTAGGGGTACCTTATTTGGGGGCCCTTGTAATAAAGGATCCTCCTCTTTAGGGTGCTATAGTTAGGGTCCCCTATATTTTGGAAACTCCCAGGTGTGCAGGGAGAAGGATCTGCGTCTCGGGGTGGCCCCAACATCTTCGATGCCCCGTTAGTCAGCGAGATGCCTTCCTTCGAAGACGGTCTTGCAGGACGGCCTTCGAACAAGCGAGTGCACTCCTTTGCGCAGACTTCGGAGGGCGACACCTTCGTGGCGCAAGGTGGAGCCCCGAAGGCCAGGAAGGAATACAGTGCCTGGACAACTGTTAAGGGATTTAGTTTAAGTTGCCTTAAAAAAGAGACCGTATCATTTACTATAGATCCCTATTATGGTAACTTTAAGTTGCCTTTGAAAAGCAAACATATCATTTTACTATAGGTCCCTGTTACGGCAACTTTTCCCTAAGAAGAGCCCAGGTGTCTGGACCGAAGGAGAAGAGCAGCGTCTACTCGAGGGCTTCAAAATCTACGGAAAGCAGTGGGCCATGATTTCCAAGTGCTGCGGCCTGCAACACAGGAGTGGGGTTTGGGGGTTAGGGTTTAAGGCTTAGGGGAGGCCAACGCAGGCTGGGTTCTTGATGAAATTTAAGTTACCCTAAATTGAGTTCCTTAACAAAAACCTTGCAGGAGTGGGATGCAGATCAAGGACAAGTGGCGGATTCTGCAGAAAAACGGCATCGTGCCCGCGCGCGGCGCGGATGGCCGCTTGGACGTCGAGGATTGAGGAGGAGGCGGCATTCCGAGGCCGGATAGCAATAATAGTAAAAGTAATGCTAACAATACTAGTGTTAGCAATAGTAAAACTAGTACTCACAGTTACAATAATAATAACAATATTAAAAAAATAGGTTTTCTTCGAGCTTTTGTGTAGGGCCGATATGTGAAACTGTTAAAGACAGTTCTTTCCGAACTCGGCGCTGAGTGTCCCGCGGACCCATAGGCGCGGGAAAGCTGCGCGGGGATGGGGTTCGTCAAAAGGGTGGACAGCTGAAGTGCATGCTGTGGCTAGAGGGATATTGAGACGGTTCGTGAATGTTGCTAACTGTCGTGCCAAAGCGCATTGGCCAATGTGCCTCGTTGTGCCAGGAGCCTTGCCAGAAATGCTGAGATTGTGAGTGCCAAAATGCCTCACTCTTGAACCTTCCAACGAGCTTGACCCACAGCACTGAACCCTTGCAGAGCTTGCTTCGAAACCCTAAAGGAACCCTCGAATCCCATTGTCAGGAGGTGGTCATCGCCATGCCTCCCAAGGACCGGGTGCCCTTCTTGTATGCACGCATGTAACTAGAGAAAGGGAGGGAGAGAGAGAGAGAGAGAGAGACAGAGAGATAGATAGATAGATAGGTAGCTAGAGAGAGAGGGAGAGAGAGAGAGAGAGAGAGAGAGAGAGAGAGAGAGAGAGAGAGAGAGAGAGAGAGAGAGAGAGAGAGAGAGAGAGAGAGACCGAGGGAGCAGGATAGAGATAACGGCGGGGGTTGGGGTAACTCCCCCTCCTTCTACCCTTCGGGAACAAAGAGAGGGAGAGAGAGAGATGTGTCTTTTGGGCCCCTGAAGCCCTTAGACGGCTAAACTCCAAAGCCTGTTTCGGAGAGAGCTTTGTGCATTCCCTCTTACCCTGGAACCCGAGCCTTAGCAGGCAGAGGGCCTAAACTCAAACCCTTAACGGTTTCGGGTTTCGGGCGGAGGGGTTTAGAGTTTAGGGTTTTAGGGTTTGGGGTGTACCCGGCAGTCGCGATAGGCCTGGATGCAAAACAGGGTTTGGGGTGTGGGGGTTCAGGGTTTGGGGCCCTAAACACCTCGGCCCTTCCATCCTGAACCCCAGGTGTCACAAACCTTCTTGATCCCTGTAAGCCCGGTACACCCTATTAAACTATTCAACCCGCATACAAGCCATGTGAAGTAACACTGAATCTTCGAGGAGCCGTTTAAGCAGTAGAGAATAGTTTTGTTCTATGAGCCGCCTTGCCCCTTAACCGTTGAAGGAACCCTTCGAGGAACCTCCCCTGAACCCTGAACCCTAACCCCTGAACCCTAAACTCTAAACAGAAACCCTAAACCCTAAACCCGGCTCCCTAAACCCGGAACCCTGAACCCTGAACTCTAAAAAGAAACCTTAAACCCTAAACCCTAACCCCTGAACCCTAAACCCTAAAAAGAAACCCTAAACCCTGAACCCTGAACCCTAAACCCTTAACCCTTAACCCTAAACCCTGCCCTAACCCCTAAACCCTAAACCCATAAAGCGCTTCGCCGAAGGAGGCCGCCGACTTCCGGGGCGCTTTGCTGAGCGGCGGCGTCAGCGAGGCAGGGCGCCCCTGAGCTTTAGGGCTTTTGACGGGATCCATAAGGGTTCCTTTAAAGGGGTTTATAGGGTTCCTTTAAAGGGATTTATAGGGTTCCTTTAAAGGGATTTATAGGGTTCCGTTAAAGGGATTTATAGGGTTTAGGGTTTAGGGCTTTAGGGCTTGAGGGCACGGATGCAAAAGGGTTTGAGGGTCTTAGGGCTTTGGGGGTTAGGGTTCAAGGTTTCGGACGTAAGATTCAAGATTCATGGTTCAGGGTTTGGAGGGTCGCGAAGGCTTTCGCCTGATTCGGACGTGGCAATCTAGGTTGGTTTAGGCTTGAGGGTTTCGGGTTTAGGGTTCAAGGCGGCATGAACCTCAAACCGAAAGCTTCAAACCGAAACCCCAACAAGGCACTGAGACATAGAATAGAAGTCGTCTAAATATGCCGGCTGGTCGCTGCTTCTACTGGATCAGTGTTGAGGGTGGCGCAGTTGGCTGACATGACGATGATGACCAGGTTGGTCGCTTGGTCATGACGACGAGTGCCATGATGGCGTTGATGCCGATGATGGTGTGGCTGCTGCTGCTGATGATGATGTTGCCAAATGAGAGTGACAGCTACAATGGTGGTCGGTTAAACCCCTAAACCCTAAACCCTAAACCCCTAAAACCCTAAACCCTCAAAAAAAGACCCAGAAGCCCTTGGCACGAAGGTCTGGGCTGCTTTGGGCGCGGTGAAAGTGGAGCAGGCGCCTGGGGCGGGTTTTTGAGGGTTTTTAGGGGTTTAGTGGTTTAGGGTTTAGGGGTTTAGGGGTTTGTGGCATGGACCTTTAGGGTCTATTTGGCAATCCTGCTGGGCTTTGTATTTAAACTGCAACAACACCACGGCGACAAGAAGCCACGACGACTCGGTTTAGCACGACGACGACTGGGTTCAACACGGCGACGACAAGGTCTGGCACGACGGTTACATCGGGAGGCCGAAGCGCGTACAGTGTAAAGGTCTCGACAGGAGTTTAAGGGTCTAGGGTCTTAGTTCCTAACTATGGTTTACCGGGGTCAGTATACTATGGAAGATCTAAGGTTTGGAGTTTATGAGGATTTAGATGGTTTTACGCTCTCACAAGTTCTCCGTGCTGGTTTTAGGGTCTATCACAGTCTATCACAATGTCCTCCCGTCCCTCTCGCGCCGGGAACCATCAAGAATCTGTCTTGTGTATTTCTCGTCCTGCGTCTTTCTCTCATTCCCTTTCCTCTTCCTGCCTATCCACTCTGCCGTTTGTCAAGAAGACACAGAAATTGAAGTCATGACAGAGGAATAGGCATGAAGATGGACGAAGTGAACTCTTCATTCTCTCGTCTCTCCCTTCTCTCCTTCCTTTGATTGATCCTTTTTCTGTTTCTTTTCTTGTCGCCTTCTGCTGTCAATGACAGGGGTAACACGAGGGAGGGGCAAAGGGACGACGTCAGTTCCTCTCGACGTGGTTCGTTTTTTCATTTCCTCTCGCGTTGTCTCTCTTCCGCCTCTCTCTCTCTCTCTCTCTCTTCTCGCTCTGTCTTCCTCTCTGCCGTGTCTCGCTCTCTCATCTCTTCTGTCCCTTCTTTCCTTGCTCCCTTGCTGGAAGGAATAGAAAACAGAAGCGAAGACATAAGATGGAGGAAGATGGTTGGGAGAAGGTGGATTCCTCCCTCACTCGGCTCTTTGACTTTCTTTGCCCTTGCCTTCTTTTCTCTGCTCCTATCCTTCTTCACAATTAGAAGGAGAAGCGACAAGAACGGAGAGCTCAGGGAGAGCAAGTGACACTGTTCCTCATAATCTCCTCCTTCCTCGTGTTCATTGCGTTGTCCATCTCCCCCTCGCTCTCTCTCTCTCTCTCTCTCTCGCTCTCTCTCTCTCCCTCCATCCTTTCCTCTCTACTTCTGCACATTTACTTTTCCACTTCTCTCGCCTACTACATTATGCTTGCTTTGATACTTATCTTCAACTTTCTCTCACTCTCTTTGTCCCATCGCTTGCCCTGTTCCTTCTCCTCCTCCCTTCCCTGCCTCCCGTCCTTCTCCCCTTATCACTCAGAAGGAAGAAGGAAGACTCACAAGGAGAAAGACAAGGGAGTAAGAAAACAGACAAAAGAAACGGAGAGAGAGCCATAAGGGACGAAATACAGAAACAAAGAGAGAAAATAAGGGGGAAAGATAATCAAAAAGAGAGACAGAAAGAGGAGGCGATGCATAAAGCAGCCGACAGTGCCTTGACCTCCACGTCTATTCATTCTTTGTTCTTGTCCTATCACACTGTCTCATTGGTGATAAACCAGGAAGAGCTTGTGGAGGGAGACGAGGAAGTGTTCTCCTCTTCACTCACCTTGTGCCCTTCCTCTCCCACCGCTCGCCCGCTCTCCTTTCTTTGATTTTCTTGTCTGGCGGAAAAGTGGGAACCAGGAGAAAGAAGAGAGATACAGAGAGAGCGAGGGAGAGCTTCAAGCCCAGCAGAGGAAGAAGAGAGAGGAAGATAAGAGAAGGGGGCAAGGGGTGGCCAGAAGAAGCGTAAGCCAAAGCTACGTATTGAAAGGGCGGAAGCCCCATTCTCCTCTTCTTCCTCTTTGCTCTCTTATTTTTCTCTTAGCGCAGGGCATGCATGGAGCTAGGAAAGGGAAGGGGTCAAAGCGGATGAGAGAAAGTAACGGAGAGAGCTGTTCTTCGTCCCTCTCACCTCCTCCTCTCATTCTCCTGATGCTTACTCATGTCAGAAGGGTCTGGAAAGGAGTGAAGGCTAGGGCATGGACTGAAGCGAGGCAATAGGTGAAAGTGGATAAGAGAAAGTCGGGGGAAGTCGAGTGCGAAAGAAAGAGAAACGAGGAAGACTAGGAAGAAGGACACAGAAGAGGAAGCGAGAGAGTACCAGTGTTGCCGTATCTCAAAGGACTCCGGGCCTCGCGAGGGCTTCGAGGAGGCTTGTAGGCGCCTTCAGACACTTCCACAACTTTCTGGAGGCCACCAACTTCCTCCCTAAGGGGGCCTCTTGAGGACATGAACACCAAACCGAGTATAAAGAAAGCAGGGGGATGTAGAGAAGCAGAGTGTGGTAAGAAGGAGCAAGGAGAATCAGTTCGCGTCTCCTCATCGTTTCCTTTTTGAATGACCAGAGGAAAGAAAAGGATAAGGAGGAAGGGCTCTGCGAAGACATAAGGAAAGAAGAGCAAACAACAGAAAGGAAGCGGTAAGATGCGGGAAGACGGTTCGGAGAAGAAAGGAGAATTCCTCCTTCGCTCGCCTCTCTTACTTCCTTGCCCTTCGCCTTCTTCCTCTTCTCTTACCCTATTCATCTTCATAAGGAAGGAGAAATGAAAGGAACGGAGAGTTCAGGGCATGCAAAGGGCACTCTTTCTCATCACCTCATCCATCCTCCTTTTCATTGTTCTCTCCAGATCCCTCTTTCTCT